CTTCTTGTGGCCGCCGCCCGCGGAGCCGTCTCCGGAGATCTTCTTCGCCTGCTGAGGGACGCTGTGCCTGTTGGCCGCGGCCCTCTTGAACGGTCTCGACTTCTTGTGCTGCGTGTGCGAGGTGACCCTCTTGTTCTGGGCTGGGAGTTCCCCCGCTGTAGCGGCAAGCAAGTCCTTCCTGCAGGGGAGGGGCAACACGAGAGAGAGAGAGAGAGAGAGAGAGAGAGAGAGAGAGAGAGAGAGAGAGAGGTGGTTTAAAAAAAACTGACACATGTCGACGACGACAACAGCAGCAGGAGTAGGGGGGGGTGATAATCTACGTCATGTGCCTATTTTTGGAAGTGTTTACAAGCGATCCCTCCGGAATTGAGCTCATGTGAGTAAGGCGAGGGGTTGGTGGCGATGCAAGACGAAAACGAGAGAAGGCAAGCAGGACCGCAGCCCACAGCAAAAGTCTCGACACCGCGTTTTCCCATGCTCACACAGCTGACGACGTGTAAACATTGTACTCCACGAGCCCAGCGAAACAACAACGAAAATATTACCAAACCACAGCGGAGATACCGCTGTGTGCTGCTCGGGGAACCGTATAAATAAAAGTTGGTCGCCGTACAACACCCTAGTACATACAACGTAATCCATCACGGACTCTGTATCTGTGGAAGAGATGGATTTGTTGTCTTGTAACAACAGACCAAGAAAAATGGAGTACCGTAAGAGTCGGAGAGATGGCACCCCCGTGTTGGCGTTTTTTTGTAGCGTATTTCACCACAACCAGCGGGGTACCAGTGCTAAAAAGGGCAGTTTTGGAAACATCTCGTGGAGGGAATTTCCTGAGAGGTATCGGTTGGTGCTCGCACCCTCCTACTTGTGGAGACATAGGCTAAACGCAAACGGTAACACGGGGGTGCCATCTCTCCGACTCTTACGGTATGCCTCCTACTGGTGTACAGTCTTATAGTTGGAGTATCCTACACACAATCCCGACCAAGCAGACACCAAGAGAGGGAGCACGTCGGTGTTTCAGGCGGGCAGGCTACCGTAGGTGACATGAGGTACCACACCCCCTGTGCGTTTCTTGAACCTCGAGTACTCCACGACGAAAAGGATCGTTGAACCCAGCGAGACGTTGTCGGAATTTTTTCGACGAGGCGGTTCCCACACCCACACCACCGTTTTGGGTACCGCCACTCTCGGTGGTGTGGAACAACCCCGAGCCTAGAAAATTGGTCCCGGGGGTGTGGTATCTTGTGTCACCTACGGTAGGCCGATTGAATGCTCTGCGAGCGACAGCCCCACCTCCGTGGAAGGAGGAGACGCATCCCCCGATCGCGGAGGCCTGAAAAAAAAAAAGACTCCTCCCTAAGTGATGGAACAGCAGTAGCCAAACCTCGTTGGGAAGAGTGGAAATCTACATAGCTGTCAGATAGCTCGAGGCGGGACGTCTTGCGCGGGACCTCCACATCGCGTTCAGTTCGCATATTGTTTACACCACCGCCTTGAAAGCTTACTTCATTTTATTGGGAAACGTACATGGCAATCACTGAAAAAGACTGCCCGTTCGAGGCAGACCCAACACAGCAGTCAAAGGGGGTCATCATGTCTTGAAAGATGTAAGAAGCGGAGAGATGGCAGCACTTCCCCCCTGGACCGATTTTCAAAGCTCGATTGC